GGCTGTTTTCCAATAAACCTTTATAAAACAAGCTGTAGGTCAGATTTGAACAGGAGTCAGAGTTTGCCAATCCTTGGTCTAGTCTTTCCTTAAGCCTGATAGGTGCATGTGGCTGACAGAAATGGAACCAGCCTCTCTCCTCTCTCTTTGTGACACATCTTTCAGGACCAGGAAAATCTTATCCCCTACAGAAGGTTATCAAGAGACAAGCCTGACAGGAACCCTGGAGCTATTTCTCTTGTCCCTTCCACCATGAAATCTAAAGAGGGTAACCTGCTAACTGGTGACAGGAATCTTGTCTCTGATTTATCTGCCTCTGCTCAGTCAGACAGCAAACAGATGACTCATTCAGGGACAATCCTGTATTCATCGAGACTTACTGGGTGCCAGGCAGGTTTGTTGTGAAAATGGTGTGTTGTAGTCTCTTAATAAATAAAAATTCCCTCCTGTCTCAAATTCTTTCACATTTGCCTCATCAAAGTCTGACAAGATCTCACTTGTCCTTATTTTAGTGGCCACTGGCATTGTAAATCCTTTATTTGCATCTTTTGCTACTGATTTTTTAACATTGTTGTATTCATGAATAAGACTCTATCTCCAGAGGGTTAGTGATTTCCTAAGTGCCGCCAATGGACAAGGAGTAGCTAGAACAATAAGGAGGTGTTTCTCTAATGACTCATCTCCAGGTTTATTATCCTCCAGAGGCTCAATGGTGTGTGTTGGCATGAAGGAGTGGGTCCCAGAGGTGAGCTAACCATGACATAACCCTTCTCCAGTTCTGATATCATGGACAAATGATTACTCTAAACAATTCCCCACCTAAATTGGTTTCATGTCATTAAAAGCCTTAGCACTCCCAAGGAGAAAATAACAGCAGCTCTCCAGGGTCACCCTCCGTACCAACCTCCTTGACTTTTGCAGTAATTAGACATTGCTCCGCTACCAAACACTTCCTGAAAATGGAGCTGAGTCACCAAAGAGCAACTGAAAATTAGAAGTGTGATTGTCTGTCAATTGCTAAAGAAGCTTCCAGAAGAAGCCCCTCGGTAGGCAACTCCTCACCTTTGCCAGGCTGCCCACATTGCATGGCAGCAGACTCTGTTTGGGATTTGGAGAGGCTGTTCCTCCCTGAATACTAGGTCCATAATTCCCTACTTGCTGGATTTGTCCTGCAGTTTCTGGATTCAAGTTGTCATCCTCACTTAGGGCACAGCCATCTCCAGACTGGTCTGCTCTGGGCTCAGGGATTCACAAGCTTACTAAAGCCATAGTCTGGGGGCAGGGAGCAGAGGGGCCACTCCATAGAAGTAGGGAAGAGGACAAATTTCAGACAAGCATTTAAGTCCAGTAGTCATCCAAACAGGCACATGAAGAAGGAGGATTTGAGAGTAAATCTGAGCTTTTCTTCCAGTAAAAAAAAAATGCAGCACACTTCATTGTCTGACAATACTATAAACTCACTTTTATGACACTAGTTATAAAACCCCTAACATTTGTCTAGTGCTGGCAGTCGGTTTCTTTTTCTTAGAGATCCAGATGCAAGAGAGAGATTTGTGATCTCAAAGCCAGCTTGGGGTTCATAAAATGAAGGTATCATAAAAACAATCCATCCCATGTACTAAAAAAGGTTAAATTCTATACCATGAAGTGATATGCATTGATAAAAAATCCTTTGTTTGCATCCTTTGCTACTGATTTTTTAACATTGTTGTATTCATGAGTAAGACTCTAAATATCACCAGAGGGTGAGTGGTTTCCTAAGTGCCACCAATGGACAAGGGGTAGCTAGAATGACGATGAGGTGTTCCTCTAATGACTCATCTCCAGGTTTATCACCATCCAGAGGGCTCGATGGTGTTTTTTGGCCTTTCTGAGGCATAAGCAGGCACATGTCACCTGCAAAGAGGGAAGGGGTGGGTACTTGTGAGGAGTACAGCATTGCCTTGCTTGGTCTGGACATGCATTTGGAAGAGTAGGGAGGTGAGCAGAATGAGGTCAATGACAACTTTTGCTTCAGGATACCCGTACATTTCTCCTGGAATGGCTGTCTTTTTGAATTAACTCATTAACTAATTATCTAAAATCTCCTGCTAATCTAAACCTAACACCAATCCTGCCTTACCAACAATGTCCTTCTCTATTCCCTGCTGCTTTGGCTCTCCCAGCTGTAGCAACCACTGCGGTGAATCTTGTATTTTATCATTGCTTTGGATGTGCATGTGTATATTTTATACATTTTTAAGAGGGCATAATATTCTGTGTTACCTTCTATTAGTTGACCTGTATGAAATTGTCTTTAATGGTTTATTTTACTCAATATCGTCCTGCTAAGATTCATCCATTTCATTGTAGCCAGCATCTTTCTTTATATTGTTAATGGTCATTTGGATGGTTTCCAGGGTTTTGGTTCTACAGGAAGTGCTACCATGGCCTTTCTTGTCTCCAAAAGTGTATGTGGACATTATTTTAGGTCGAAACATTGGAGTGTAATTGCTGGGCCATATGGTATGTAAGTGTCCCATTTTATAAGAGAATGCTAAGCTCTTCTCCAAAGCGATTGTACTGAGCACACCCCCACCAGCAATTAACCAACTGTTACTCCATGTCTTCTTCACCACCTCTCATTTTGTGCCAAACTAATTGGTGTAAAATGATATAATCTTTATGGTCTTGATTTGCATTTCACAGATCACTAATAATTTTGAACATCTCTTCATTTGATTATTGGCCATTTGTGTTGCCTCTTCTGTGTCAGGCCTGTGCAAGCCTCTTGTCATTTTCCTATTAAGTTATTTGAGCTTTTCTTATTGATATATTCTTGATAGTAATCTTGCATTGGTTATATGTATTGTAAATATCCCCTCCCAGTGTGTGACTTGCCTTTTTATATTACTTAAAGTGACTTGTAATGAACAGAACTTTAACAAAGTCCAAAGTAGCTATCTTTTTATTTTTCTAAGCAGTGCTTTTTTTCTTAGCATTATGCAATGAATCTTCATAAGACCCTGTGAGGATGACAGTACTGGCTCTCTCTGAGAGTCAAAGAAAGCCAGGAAAAGGAACTCGAAGGCCATTTGGCCCAGGCCTCACATGCACAAAAGGCCTTAAATCAACATTGTGTTCATTATCTTCAAATGAGGTCACCTACAGCCACAAAGATTCACTGTCAGGGATGAAAGAAGACCCTGCAGCTTAAGGCTAGAGCACCATCCTTTGCAGTGAAGTGAGAACTATGAGGTTTTAATAAATCTTGTAAGCATGAGAATAGCACAGTTACACCACATTCTATTATTATTGTCAAAGTATCACTTTGTTAAATCTAAACATTCAAAATTTATCACGATATGTATTGTCAGATCATTTAAGTCTCTAAGGAGACCCCCAAATGGAAAGTTGCCCAGGTCTTTCTCAACTCCAAGAGCTCCCAGACAGGGAGAATGGTGTGCTCCATTTCACAATGTTGGTAACTTACAAAACTGGAATTCACACCTAAATGTGTCAAGCTCCAGAGCCTAGACACATTCTGCTGTTCAATGTGGCTAAATGGCAAGGAAAAGTCATCCTGAGCATGGGATCCTGTACAAGTCATCCTATGCACAACCGTCTTCCCAGTGGGCCTCACTCCACATGGCACCACAGCTAGGTGCCCCAGCCTGTCAGGGGATAGAGGCTGCACTGTCTGATGCCCATGTGTTTCCAAAGCAAAGGGGGACTCAGGCCTCTCTCCCTTGACCCCTCTGGGGCACATCAGGGAGGGGCTGGCAGATTGCTGAGGACCATGAAGGGCAGGGTGGTGGACCTTAGTGGCCCCAGAGCTTGCCCCAGGCTGTCCTGACATCCACCGCTCTCTGCAGGAAGGCCAAGATGTCACTGGAGTGGCTAGGGGGCAGCACAGGGATGAGTGTGTGTGTTGTGGGGGGGGTAAGGTGTGAGTGCGCCTGTGAGGGTATACATGAGGAGACTCCACAGAGGTGGCAGGATGGGTCTGGGACAGAAAGGATAGGAGGAGACACTGAGGCAGTCGGTCTTCTCAGAGAGGCAGCAGTGCTGACCAGGGGGCTGTACTTGTCTCCGGCCCTATTCTCTAATGACCTCAGGACAGTAGCTGTCACATGTGGGGGTCACTGGACAGGAGGACCCCACCACCAGCAGCAAAATCATAACACCTGCCTTCATCCCACCACATTCTTCTTCATTGACCTCCAAGGGCACTACAGCTGCACATAAGTGGATAAATGCCAATTCCCCAGCTTGGAACCCAAGGAGTCATGAGTCAGAACCATCCAATCCTCAGCTGTATAAGAGGATAATAACGCTGAATTCGAGTCATTGTGGGAAATTGACTGAAACAAATGAGCAACATCTAACAGTGCTGAAGAGCATCATGGGCTTTCTCCTCCCTTCTTCCCTCTGGCACTGGTATCTTCCCACCTGTCCTCCCAAGGCTCTGCCCGGTAAGGTTCTGTCCCAGGCTCTCTGCCCTTATCCCCATCTCTGAGGCACACCTCTTCTCACAGTACGGCCCCAGAGATGAGCCCAGCCCACCTGGCTGACCCTTTCCCTGTGTTCAGACTTCCCCAACCAGACCCCCAGGCTAACCACAGTGGGCCACCCTCTCCCCAACACCCTCCCTTCACTCCTGCACCTCTTCCTTGGTACTCTGCTTCTGCTTTTGCCAAGTGTTCTCACCTGAGGTGGACAGGTCTCTCTGTGCCACCCTCCTATGAGCCCATAAGGAGGGTGGGCCAAAGGTCAGGCTTAATCTGCCTGCTCCTCCCCAGCCAGCACCGCTCTGCAAACTTGGAAGTTCCCTAAGGAGCAGCTGCTCTACTTCTGCTGCCCAGAAGGGGCATCCACCTAAAGAACGTGTGTGATGGATTGCCCTGCAGGTAACAGGGCTGCTCAGAGTCAGATGCCTCTGGAGGTGTCTCCCACCTGGGGGATGACCACCCCGTGGCCCTGTCACAGTGCACGTGCCCAAGCGCCAGCTCCCCGCCTACCTTCCTGATGCCTTCTGAAGGACTGGACACACAGTTGTCAGCCCCTCCGTTCTTGCTGATGGTCCGCCAGAGTTCGGCAAACGTGCTGTCCTGCTCCAGGGGGTTGGTGCCCTTGGCTCGGAAGTACTCATATACAGCAGAATCCCGGACGGTGCCATAAGACATCTCCACTTGTTTGGACAAGTCCTGGAAAGTCCTGAAATGCAGAAAGGCAGCGAGGCATGAGTACATGCTGTGCACTGCACACTGCAAGGTTACAAATGGGCTGCAAGGCTCTTCTGAAGTCCAAGCCCAGCATGGCCCACTATCCACATTCTTCATTCCCAGTCCCCCAAAGTTTGAGTCCCTCAGCCCGGAGAGGGCCTCATTCAATTACAGGTATGTTTTCTCTGTGTTGATTAATTCAATAAGATGACTGGGTGCCTAAAACCAGGTTCTTTACTGAACTGGAGGGATAAAAGGATGAATAAGACATGATTCTTGCCTTTAAGGAGCTTATAGTTCAGCTATAGAAGCAGACATATAGACAGAAAATCATAGTATCAAAGAGTCAGGGCAACATGAGAGGCTGTTTGCTGCAGATCTGCAACTCAGATGTCTGCAGAGGCTGCGCAGGAAAGAGGCCTATGTTGGCATTATGGACGATAATGATGGCTGGCCTGTGACACTCAGAGACAGCATGGGGAAGAAACGCACTCAGAGACCAACTGACTCAAGGTAAATTAAGAGGCATCCCCTCCAAAGCTTGCAGCTGTGCTAGGGGTCTAGGCAATTATTGACTTCGAAAGCTCCCCTCCCCATGACCTCCCCAACCAATTTGGTTTTTGAAAAAATAAAGTAAATTGGATTTTTATATCTCTCCTGATTTTAAAATGTTGACAATTATTTAAAAGATAATGAAAAAAACAGAGCACTTCTGAAGGCCTTGGGTTTGCTCTCCTTAGAGGAGTGGCAGGTAGCTCCAGCCAGGTGCACATCAGAGGGGAGATTTCACGAAACAACAGCCATCGGCAGCCCAAGAACAGACTTCTGAGCTAGGGGCAGAGGAGGAGATTCCTCTGGGGAAGGACGAATAGTCACAGCAGGAAGGACCAGTCGCTATGAAGATTTCACTTGCTTCAGAAGAGCGTACTTGGCTCAGCACGTTGAAAGAATGTCATGTACCAAACAGAATTGCAAAGTAAAAAAAGCCCAGTGGGGAGCTAGCCTCTCTCTCCAGGTTCCAACCTGATCACTCTACTTATTTCTCTTCTAGAAATCTCAGTCTCTCCTCTTTATCAACCCACATCATCATCCCTCCCTCTCTCTGAGTCACCGTTTCCACAGGAAGAGCCAGTCTTCTCAACTGGATCTACACAACCCTCCATCTTCTGGTCTCATTTCTGGCTGTCCTCCCCACCTGCACACAGCACCGTAGCCAACCTTGAAATGAGAAATCCCACACACTTCCCATCCGTGGCACCAGGCCACAGTGCTCCCTCTGCCTGGAATCCCTTTATCTTCCTCCTCTAACAACACCTCTACAAGCCCGTTGAAAATCCAGCAGCCAACAGCTGCCCCTTTCCTTGGGGAGCTGTCCCCACCCCAGCCTCCCTGTGCCCTCTCCACACCTTGTGGGCTTCTGTGGCAGCACGAGCTCACCGGGACTTCAGAAGGCCACATGCCAGAGCAGAGACAAGCAAGGGCTCTGGAGTCCAATTACCTATCTTGCCTGTCTGCCCTCCACAACCAACTCTGTGATCCAGAAAACTTAGTTAACTTATCTGTGCCTCAGTTTCCAAATCTTTTAATAATGGAGATAGAAGCAGAGCCTGTGGCAGAGGATTGCTATGAGGATTAAATGGGATTTGTGTTCAGCTCTCAGAGCAGTCCCTGACTACCGTGATTATTCGGGTCCCCTGTGGACTATATGAACTGAGGACTGGAGCTGAAGGAGCCCCTTTTTTGCACCCATGGCCCTGGACCAACGCTGACAGCAGCCTCCCCAGCCAGCACACAGAAGGCCCAGCTGTGGATGCTTCCCCTTGCTTCGGAGACACATGCCACAGCACTCCTTAGGTCCCTGCTATGTGGCCCAGAAACAGAGCTCAGTATTCGTTTCAATACATTACAGATGAAAGGAAACATAAAATAACAAATTCGACGAAGAAATCTTTCTAATTATTGTTCATTATTTATATCTAATTGAAGCAAGATGTTCCTTTGCCTGAAGGGCCCCAAGGGTTGCAACTCTGCCGTAATCTGCCTGTAATGAAAGGAGGGGAATCTTTTTTTTTCCACATTTTTAAAAATTTTTCTCATGGTAATACAAACAAACACAAGGCTTTGATGAATGAGAAACATCAGGATGAATTACATAGTTGAGTCTAAATACTGAGCTGCTCTAAATTGCTGCAGTTTTCATGAGTGTGGAACGAATGGGTAACTGCCAGGGATCTCCAAACTGTTTCATCCCCACATTTGAAATGGAGATTTTCTCTCTCCTCTTGGTATTATTCATGAAGGTGCCCATGTCCAGAGGCTCAGGGAACGTCTCTGGATAAGAAGCAGGCAGCCCAAATGTTTATGGCTTCATGTTCATTTCTGTTCCAGTAGACCTCACTGTTTCCACCCCAAAATGCCACCCCCATCTTCTTTGAATCTTACTGCTCAGACCCACGGTCATAGCCTTCATTCATCCATCACCTCTAATAGCCACAAATTTGTGCAGAGGAATCTCTCCCATCTCAGACATGCACTCAATCTTTCAACAAAGGTTTCCAGGCTCACTAATGCCCAGCACAGGGGGCACTATCATCTTATTCCAAGGTGAATAAACTTATAGAAGGCTACCTGGGATGTTGAACAGAGGGACCCAACTATTCATCCACGAAAGCCATCATCTCCCTGAGGAAGTCATCCTCTTGTCATAGTACACAGTTTTGGAGGGGACACACAGGGAGGAATAAAGGAGAATGGGGACAGCCAGGCAACCAGACTGCCAAGCCAACACTGGCAGTCAGCGGAAGACAGATGCTGAATTCAGATAGGACGCCCATTCAAGCAAGTGAGGGAGGCTTCACCTGGAGGAGGCTGTGCTAGCAGCACACTCAATTTAGAACTTTTCTGAAGTCAGTCTCTTCAGCAACAACTGCTACAAAGTGTCCAGGTACCTCTACCACAGAGAGATGAAGGAGACGTGCCCATCACAGGTGTGGTCTCTATTAACCTCACATGCACAATGCAACTCGCTGATGTCATTCAACCAGTTATTTCACCAACAGTTCCTGAATGTCTACTAACTAAGGCACAGTGCACACCAAGCAAGGAATACATGGCAGGCATCATCAAGGGGTGAGTGGTCAGAGAAGTAAAGCAACAGTGACCAAACAATATGAGAGACATTAAAATACAGGTCTGTATGGGGGACCCCAGAAGCACAGAAAAGTAGCTAACCCATAGGTAGGAGCTAAAGAAATGCTTCCTAGAAGAGGGAACATTAAGCTGAGTCAGAGAGAATGGGTAGAGGCAGCCAGATGGAGAACCAAGGGGTAGAATGTCCCTAGAAGAGAAGGTATTACCTAAGAAGGCATTTGGGTAATGAAAACAGGTGGCTTATTCAGGACACAAACCAGGGAGCAATTCACATCAGCTAAAAAGACATAGGTGATGGAATTTGGCAGTCCTGGGTGTGGATGCTCCCTCTGAATGCCTTCACTGTTTGACATAGACCAGTAGCTCTCAAAGAGTGATCCTCAGAGCTGCAGTGTCAGCGCCTTGGGCCTTATGAGAAATGCAGATCCTTGGGCCCCACTCCAGACATACTGAGGCAGAAACTCTGAGGGTGGTGCTCAGCAGTCTACGTTTCCACAACCCTCCAGGTGATTCTGATGCATGCAAGCTCCAGAACCATGGACTGGGGCAAGTCATTTAATCTCTGAGGCCTTAGATTTCAAAACTCATACCCAACTCACAGGGTTGTTGAAGATTAATGATCCCAGACATATACCTGGTACACAGTTAATGTTTAACAAATGCTAGCCCTTCTAGTAGACTGCTTATCAGTAGTTCAAATGGTTGGAGCACTGGACTCATGTGAAGGAGTCATGGGTAACAGGCCAGAGTAGTCACACCCAGATGGAAGCAAGCATGGGCAAGCCGCATGTCTAAGCTTCCAGGCTCATGTGATTGGAGCCTATCTCCCCATCTGCCCATCTGTCTCCCCATTGAGAAGCCTATGGCCCATCTTGTTTCCATCTTATTGCCAAGGTACATGCAAATGCTCCCCCATCAGCCCACAATTTGCTGCCTTGTCAACAGCACACACTTCAGGCACTCAGGATACCTAAAGGGATGACTTGCAGAAGTCAGAACCCAGGATGAGCATAGAGACACCAAAATTCCTCTAGCAGGCAATCTGAACTTTACTTTGTGGTTCGTCATAGTAACAGCCTAGCAGAGGCTACCCTGGGAAAGTAGTGAACTCCTAGGCAAGGAACTGCTCAGGAAGAATTGCCTCAAAAGCATCAGACCCAGGCTGCCCACCAGAGTCTGCACTGGCTCATGAAATACCATGGTGCAAGCTTGTGTATCCCTTGAGCTTCACTTCTGTTTGCTGCCTATCTTCTTACTTCACCTTTTGATAATATTTTGTGTTGGAATCCTCCCCTGACAAAGCCTACCCTCTCCTCCAATCTTATGTTTAAATCAATATCTTCTACTCAAGTGTGTCCTACCAAAACTGGGTTTGAGACCAATGCAAGCTGCTTCTCTGTGTCTCCTGACCTGGATTACCAATTTTTGAAATTTCCACAAGCTAAAAGCATAGCTGATACCTTTGAGTACATCAGATTGTCTTGCAAAAGGACTTTGTAAGCATCCCTTGCCTCTGAGAACACTGTCCTCTAATTAAACATGCACCTCCAGGGAAGACCCACCATGCATCCTTCAGCTGTGGCCAAGGATATTCTCCCCAGCTTGGTACCACCTCCTTTCCACCCCACACCTTTCTCCATAAATCAGTCTTACTATTTCCTTGATATATGTTCATTAACAAAGAGATGTGTTTGCAGTATGAGAAAAATCAATAATACAGAATTTATAAATACATCTTTGCATGTTACAAAAATATTTACATTGGCAATGGAGATAAACACACTTGCAACAAGAGCAGAATCAATATTCAGTATATGTAATGGATTTCAACAACGGTGGGGA